AGTGTCAATACTTGAAAAAAAGTAAACCGCCAAAATATACGAAAAATTATGAATATCAATTTCATATAATTCAGAAAAATGGATAAATCGCAAAATGATTTACTCCAGATAACTCTAGTCAGTAGATTATTGCCATCAGAATGAAAACAAATGATCAAAAGTTCAAGTACAGTCAAAAATTCAAAAAGTAAATACATTCGGGGAAGGCAAAAATAATTTTGAAAGTAAATTTCCTACGTACCAAACATCATGAGAGCTATATCAGTACACCAGAGATCCAACAATTAGGCTATATATGCGTACATGAAAAGTCTCAAGAAATCAAAAAAACTGCACATGAAGAAATACTTTCAAAAACTAAGAGGTTAGTGATCAAAAATGAAAAGCATATAAGAATATGTAAACTATCAACAACAATAGTCACAACCTCAATCAAAAGTTTGATGATATTCGACAAAAATGCTGGGAAACCTAAAGTCCCCAGACTATCAATATTCAACAACAAAAAAAAATATCAAAATATCATCAATCTCAAAAGTAATTACAATGAGAAAAAAGTTATAACTGTCCCCAGCAGTAAATAAAAACTATAGTAGTATGTGAGAAAAAAAATTCTGGCAATGATCTCGCTGACTACTAAACAAGACAATTTATAAGTTAATAGTATGCCTATGAAATAAACAGGTGGAAAAATTTTAATCTTTTGATAAAAATTTTAAACATTAAGCAAAAAGTAAGGATGATTAAGGAATTAGAAATTTGAGTACCAAAAGCAATTAAAAATAGAAATGCTGCCAAAGGTTGTAAAGAATTTTGAAAACTATGTTCTGTCTGCCAATCTTCCACTAGCAAACCACTTGTCGACAAAGCCAAACACCTATCGAAGCCTCACGTTGCGGGTGCCAATTTATGTAACGCTTCCTTTCCGCAAAAAGTCCAGAAAAGATGGAATGCAATGAAGATTCCAACTTTTCTGCACAATCACACAAAGGGGGTTACAATTAGCTTCCGGTAGCTCAGTCGGTGGCATGAAGACATCTACAGGCGTGTAGCTGTGTGTCGACCATGGCATGGCTAGAGGATAGAAGAACAAACAGAACACAAAAATTTAACAGATTTTATTTAACAAAAAAAGGCATTTTCATTACATTACAATTTTACAAAAATAACAAAATAAGTTTTACATCTTTGGCGCTGCTATAACGCTATCGACTTATCTTTCGCTGGTCCATTTTAACTCGACTGAAGCCAGGATGGCCAGGGGCTTGAAGGGGAGGTCCCAGTTATGAGGGGTGACCTCACATATAGTGGCTTCATAACCAGTTGTAGGCGAAGTTAAAGGCGATGGCGCTGCCAAGGCACATGCATGGGTGAAAATATTGGTCAAGGCTAGGCAAAGTGAAAGGGAAAGAGAAAGGGGGTGGCCCCAATCATTTTTGTCCTATACGGACACACATTCTAGAAAATTCTAGCACATGGTGCTATATAACCTTGTGCTACAGAGAGGAAATTTCTAGCCGTTGTTCGATCGGCGGCTCAAGTGAAAAGGAAGCGCGAGGAAGATCGCAGATCAGGAACTCCGCATCAAGCGCTCCAAGTGGAAAATTTTCCAAGCAAAAAAGCTAGAGATGGGATTAATGAAATGATAATCGAGAAGTGATTTAATAAATACGATCGGACGGTGAAACCGTTACACCCATCCACGAAAATTAGTTACGAATATATCCTGATATTACTCTATCGCAACGCCCGCATGAAAAGCTCTCTGATCCCATTTTTTCCGCGATTAACACGTGAAGCCACCTACAGCACGAAACGGCCATTTATTGGCCAAATACGCCGCCGCATAACTGCACGTTCGACAGCTACTGCACGATGCTCGGTTTTCGCATGCAAATTGACGTGTGACGAACACATCTGCTACATAGGCAATTAAAAATTTTGCCGTATTTTAACTTCTCAAAATAGACGAACACGTCTATAGGCTGGAACATTTTGAATGAAACTGGAATGAGAGTGATATCAATCATTTATAGTAGCTCAACAAGTTTCATCGTAGACCTGTTTATTATTATTATGCTACTGAACCATTCTTATTATTTCTCTTTAAACAAGATGACAACATTTAAAATTAGTTTTCACGAAAGATGACTATTACGTCATACCATAAATTGTACTGAAATAATCAATGGACGTACGTCGATGATAAAATCACATAATGACAACAAAGTTATATTATGATTTTGCGAAGTTAGGTTATTTCACTGATTATTTTTATTTTCATTTTATTTCATGGTTTTGAGTGATACCTTAATAACAATTTTAGTGGGGAATTTTTGTTATGGAAAAAAAAACAGTTATGAGTAGAATACCTTAAGACAGGAACACCAAAGACCAAAGTATTATTCGAAAACAACCTAACCTGCTTGAACATAACCTAACTATTCATCTTTCAAATATGATCGATGATGCAACATGAAAACATCGTCTATCTTTGTCGTATACATGCAAATTAGTAATACAGTTTGTTTGTCTCTGTCTAACATATCTGAAACTTCATTAAAAATATTCACAAATCGCTGTCGTTTGTCTTTACTATAGACTAAAATGATGACGTAATCGTCATCTTTCGTGATTTCAACTATAGCTCTGTTATCTGTCTATGATCAGATGATAGACAAGTTCTTAAAGAGGCAGCTTTTGAAGCTCTGGAGTATTATCGTCTGATTAGCAACAGGCTTATAAAGCCAGATATACGAGGTGTGACAATCAAGCAAAGAGACTGATTCCATTAAAAACCGTATTTAAAAATTGTTCTACAACTCTGCCATCTCCGTCAAAGTAGTCCCCTTGGGCAGCTATACAACGATTCCAGCGCGTCTTCCACGCTTCGTAACCGATTTTGCACTAGCGAGCAGAAAAAAGTTACAGGGTGACATATCGGGTGAAGAAGGCGGCTGATGCAACACGGCGTTCTCGTGATGAAGGATCCAGTTGCTTGCGATGTCTGGGCGCACTCTGTTGACTCGTTTTCGTAATCTTTCGAGTACTTGGCGACAGTAGACTTGATTTACTGTTTGCCCTGATGGAACAAATTCTGGGTGGACGATTCCACGACTGTCAAAAAAGGTAATGGTCATTGCTTCCACCTTCGACTTGCTCATGAGAGCTTTGTTCTGGCGTGGATCGTGCAGAGACAACCATTGTGAGCTTTGGAGTTTGGTTTCCGGGTCGTATTGAAAAAACCAGCTCTCATCGCCTGTAATAAGTCGATCAAGCAGCGTGGGATTGTTTTCCACTTGCTGCGATGGTAATTCGATGCTGCTTTTGCTCCGCAGAAAGGTTCTTCGGAACCAGCTCCGCGCACAACTTTTTCATCCCAAAAATCTTCTGTTAAAGTTTGTCTGTTTCACTGTTCATACCCAGATCCGAGGCCAAAATTCGAACTGTTAAACGCCGATCTTCACGGATTATGGTGCTAAATCGAGTTGACCCTTCCGTATGTCACGCGTTTGTCGAATATATTCGTCCAGTTATTTATTTAGAACAGGCGCCCTTTCTGGTTATAAAAAGTCCATCATAAATTGACGGGTTTCCGTCTTCATCCCACAATGTCACGCAGGTGTTTCACAGGGATTGATCTTTCATTCCAATAGTTTCTGTTCCTTAGTGCTGACTACCTTTTCACCAGTCTACATTTCTGCCAACTTCAGAGTGTTTTGACTAAAATCACCTTCTAGTTAATGCTTTCAAGTTTCTTATCCAGGTTTAAAATTTTCACCGATGGAACTCTGAAATTAATTTTCTTATAGTCATTCTTTTTGGTGGATATATTGTCTTGCTTTCACCCCAATTTGGTTCTAGAGAAGGTAGTTAGATTGTTAGTCGATGTATAGGGAGAATGGATTAAACAAAGTAACATCGACATTGTGGCCAACAAAAAGGAGGTTATTGCGGCAATGTATAGCAAAGTTAAGAAGATGGGAGTACGAGCTGGGCTCAGCAACAGGAGAAAACACGACAATGCAAGTTACATTAGGGGACAATTATTTTGGAAAGGTACAGAAGATTGTTTATTCAGGAACCATTATAACAAGTTCGAATCAAATTAGTAAGGAGTCTGAAGGTCAGATAAATAGGTAACAGAGATACGGCTGTTCCAGCTAAATTAATGGGAAAACTTAAATTGAGAATGTATAATACTACGATTCAGAAAGTAGTCACATATTAATGTGAAACATCGACAGTGACTATAAGAGATATCAGCGGAAGTTGTCGTTCAAATATCTAATGCTGAAAAAGGTATGCAATAAAAGATGAACAAACTGTAAAATGGAAAACAGCAAGGGGGGGTGATAGAACATGGAGAGCAACAGTATCTCCGTGATAAAAGCTTTGTAATGAAGAAGAAGACCAAATCAGAGATGGCTGGATAATGAGGAAAGAGCTGTAGATGGAATTGGCGTGTTCCATTGGAATGTTGTTGATGCACATGCCCGAAGAGGATGGTGAGGTACTGTCCTGCAAGCCAATGTTGCTTAGCCACAAGAAGTAAGTAATTATAGTCAAGTCTTGTTGGAAAATACTTTCTCTATATAATAACAATACTTTGGTATATAATAGGCTCACTCTAAGAGTATGTTGCTGGTATAGTCCTTGTTGCATTAGATGTTAATTTCTTAAAATTGGCAAGCCGTGCACAGTTCTGTTATAGAACGATATAATGACCAAAAAACCCAAAATCCGTGCCATAGCAGGGTAAGCCAACATAACGGTTTTAAGTCAGTAACGCGCTTGTTCGTAGACGTTATACATACTAAGTTTTGCTAATAACAATGTGTTCTCTCCAGACGAATGCAGGCATTTCGGGGCATCATAATGGTAACGGAGAATGAATAAAACTGTGAAATTGGTTCTGTATACTTCACTTCTAAGCCCACAAGTGCTGTGAATGGAACAAAATATTTTCATGATAGTAATGTGGATTGTTGTATTTTCAGAACAAATTCATCATGTTGCAAGTTTCCAACCAATCAATAAGAAAGCCGTTACAAATACTACATGAGACTTACATCACTGTATATATAGCACCGCACCAATGTATGAACGTGAGAGAGAGAGAGAGAAGGAGAGAGAGAGAGAGGGAGAGAGAGAGCGAGCGATCGAGCGAGCGCGCGTGGTTCCAGGCATACCAGGCAGTATTGGAAGTACATACATAACTCCATGGGAAACGTAAGAATGGAATTCCATCCATTTGCCCCTAAACAGTATTGAAAAGTAAAACGCGCATGCTCTTTTACTTGACAGACATTTTCAGAGAATATCTCTCCAGTCTCACATACTGGTCTCGTCGTGGTCTCGTATTAGTCTCGGCGCGGAACGGTAGCTTATTTTTTATACTTGATCCACTGCGCAGGTCTGAGGTCTGAATACCCGCAGGTACCGTGAGGCTATACGGGGATTCAAGAGAAATGGGGGTACATGAACTCTAGCGGGAGATCATGCACACGTTCGGGCCCTACCTCAGAGCTCCTTTGAGTGGTACCTCCGCTCTCGGCGGTTGGGATCATCTACTACTTATAGACAATTACAACATTCATAGCCAAGAGAAAAAATCGAAACCACGTAGCGCGTGGCGACTATACCTTATTCGTAGTCCATTTATGCCCCGGCACAATAAAGATGTAGCGCGGCAAAGCGGCAGCCGACTAAGCGTTGCAATAGCTATTGGTGATTCGGTCATAAAACTATGAACAAGTGCAGGATTCGACAGGATAGAGCTCAGGCTCTGGGTACAGCCGGACGTCGACTCCGGCAGTTGCTGTTCATATTCTGTGCGTACATAGCGGTTGCTTCTACGGATATAGCAGATGAAACTGAGAATATTTCTTCCAATGCTTCCTTCACCCATGCTTCCTTTTCAGTGATGCCTCTTACCCGAAAACGTGATAAGAAGGGACATTTGAATATTCACTCAAAAGAAATTGTCCTTAAAGCTTGTAAGAATGACATTTTAGTTTTAGAGCGTCCTGAAATGAAAATTCATGATATTGAAAGACGTGTGGCGAACAACACAGGATTATGTCCTAAGGCAATTTTCAACATAAAATTTTCAATATAAAAAAAACAAAAAATTGTCTCAACCACACATTTCACGAAGCTGTTGCGTACAATTGATAGCTTTGATTGGAATGCCAGCAGACGCAGTTTTTTGAAAGGTAGGAACTTCCCACCATAGACGTATTACAAGAGGTTAATAGTGATGAAGACTTACCTACTTTAAGAAGGACACATAGTTTACTCAAAGAACTTCTGTATAGAACGGTGCAGAAGTAGTATTTTGTTGGACAGTCAAGAGATCATTATATGGAGAAGGATTTTTTTTTAAATCAATAAAAAATTCCGCGACCAGGGCAGGAAGATTCATTACTTAGATAAATGCAGGATATACAAAACCTAAAGTATGGGCTACAATTAAATCAGCAAGACAAGCCTTCGTAGATGGACTAACCACTGGTATAAAGAATCCGTCATGTACCTGTATCTAACCAATTCGTTCATGGTGCCGAGTAGACTGAATCTATGAGCCCATGCTGAAAACTTAGCTACACTAAACTTACCTATTTCTGGTATATTTGGAATCAACACCTGTTAGATACTCTGCTTGTATTATTATTAGTTTTCTTGAATACTATATGGAATAATTATTTCCAAGAAAAGGAAAACGATTTGTAATCTATCACATTGGCAGTGAAGATGGCTTTGTGCCCAAAGAAAACGACCGACTACCATGAAGAAATAGTGGGGAGCTCATTTGAACGATGCTTTCAAGAAACGCTCCCAAAGCTTGACAACAATGCCGTCATTGTACTTGATAATGCTGCAATCAGCAGCAGAAAACTAGGAAAAATTTCCACAATGTCCACAACAAAGGCAGAAGTTCAACAATGGCTTCTATCAAAAGACACTAGTTTCAATGTAAATATGGTCATAGCAGAACTTATCCATCTAGACGAAATGGCTACAAACCAAAATAAGACCATTTTAAGGCTACCCCCTCATCACTGCGAATTAAACCCCATTGAAATGATTTGGGCAAACATAAAAAACTGTGTAGCTAAAATTTGTTTTATGAAGCTGTCAACAGGGTGACGGCAAACAATCGAAACAAAGATCTCGGATTTAGACAATACAATCGATATTCAAGCTGAACCTGTAATAATTAATATTAACTATTTGGACGATGATTCAAGTACTTCCAGCGAATACGGACCTGTACAATCTCGCTTTTGGGAATGTTGTGTTTTGTCTGGGTGTAAATGGACTACGAATGGGGTATAGTTAGTAGGCACACAGCGTCTACCACCACGTCACCGTGCTGCCTGATTACTGTCACATTTAATGGAATTGTACCATTGGACTAACGCAGATTTCCTATTATCCGATTCTATTAGCTCAGATTCCGAGAATGCCCTTCTACCTTTCACCATGCGGCGCGTCGAGAATTAGGAGCTGCACATGTATCGAACACGAGATTCTGTTTCACAATTCGCAATATATACTTCTATTGATCGAGAGCATTTGCAAATGAATTTATCGCTTAGTGCTCTCGCCCCACAACAAACGGTTCCGTTTCGGTACAATAAAGGATTAATTACAAACTACAAATTTAATTATAAATTTGCGCGAACGCAGGGTTGAACTAGAGTAGTTCGGGAAAATGTGGAGGAACGGGGAAATAGTTTCGTGAATTGAAACCTGTGAGGTTGAGGCAAATGTCCACAATGGCTCCAGCTAGGTTGATACACGCCATTGGTCATGTTTACACGGCGCTGCGCTAGCCAAAAGTAATCGTGCTGTTCTATGCGTTTACATCGTTCTGTGCCAAGATATGGCGGCTCATTAACCCATTATAAACGCTAACATAATATTAAAAGAAGGTGATCCGTTACAGGCCAATAGCTCTTCTAAGTATTTTTTCAAAAATCATAGAAAAATTCATTGCAATAAAGATTTTTTATTTAAGCACTAACAAATTCTGACATACTTTCAGTTTGGTTTTCGAACCGGAAATTCAACAGAACTTGCAACAACTGAAAGCGTTTGGCACATACTTGATAGTGTCGATAATGGTATTTTTCAATCTCACAAGAACATTCGATACTGTATCTCACAAATTTGTTTCCGAAAAGCTCAAATGGATTCGAATTCAAGGTTGTGTTATCTCATGGTGGATCTAGTTTTTGGAACAGACATTTTTTTTTAACAATTGGTGATACAAAATCTACTGAATTTGACATCGACTACGGAACAGTTAAGGGCAGTGCCTTAGGACCTTTGCTCTTTTTATTGTTTGTTAATGACCTTCCTTTATACAGGGTGTAAACGTTATGATAGTCATTATTTAAATGGGCGATAGACGGGGTTAAAAGAAGCAAAATGTTTCATATAACATGGGGGTCAAATCGGTATCTTTTTTAGAAAAAAGCGACTTTAAAGCAAATTAAAATCTGACAACGCCGCAATGCCAGACGTAAATTACGACGGAACACAGTGTAAATCAAGATGGAGTTTATTCTTTTTGGCTCTTAGGTATTATTTCATTATTTGACAATGTACTCGTAAAATGCAAACAATTAAAAAAAACGGACTTACCACTAACTGTCTCAGCGCTTCAGCTGGTGTGTGAAAGTTTATTGAACGTATTAAAACATTCCACTTATAAATAGGGAACACAATTTTGATACATACATTGTTTTTCTTTTTAAAACCCACACTACACTTTTTTTTGTATTTAAAGAAGGAGTTCAATATGTTGTCCTCCACTTTCCACACAAGCTTCATTACAACGAACCCAGTTTCTTCTTACTCTAGGTCCTCGAAGTTGTCCATTTATTATTTCAGCCGCACTAAATTTTTTTTCGCGAAGTTGTGCTTCAGTTGTTATTGGACCAACCCCATAAACCATCCCTTTAAGTTCTCCCCAATACCAGAAATCCATCGGATTGAGGTCAGGAGATCTTGCTGGCCATTTTCGACGATCAGCGATCCAGCGATTTGGATAATGTTCATTCAAATACTGAATGACGCCTCTGCAAATGTGTGGTAGTGCCCCGTCATGAAGAAACCACAAATTCTGTCTCCGTTGTAATGGCATGTTGTCTAAGGTCTGTTCCAAAAGTTCTGGTAGGTTATTGGCCAGAAAGCTAAGATATCCTTCTCCTGACAACTTTGGGGGTAACTCGAAAGGGCCAATTACCTGATCGTCAAGAATACCCGCCCAAATATTTATTTTAAAACGTTGTTGGAAATGTCCTTCACTAATGGTATGAGGATTTTCTTGGGCCCACATGTGAGTATTATGGAAATTTAATATCCCGTCGCGCGTAAAAGTGCTTTCGTCCGTCGCTAGAATGTTTTTAAAAAATTCGGATTTTCAATGTTTTTGTGCAAAAACCACTGACAGAATGTTAGTCTGCGATGATAGTCTTCTGGTAACAAGGCCTTCACTCGTTGTACATGGTAGGGATAAAGCAAATTTTCCCGTAGGATTCTATGGACTATGGTATACGCGGTGGCTCAATTCCCGAGTACTGATATCTGCATTGATTTCCACGATATATAAAATTTGTTCCTCCTGCTCTACAGTAACCTGTCTTTCACGAGTGCGAATATTAGTGACCTGAACACTTCCTGTATCTCGAAGTCTTTGGTACACTTGCACAAATGTCCTTCTGTCTGGGTGTACCCGTTGGCGAAATCTGACGCGATAAATTTGAGCTGCAAGATTTGAATTTTGACGAGCTTCACAGTAAACTAACAACATGTCGGCGAACTCTTGATTCGAGAACATTGTAAATAAATACGACGACGTACGCGAACAAAATCAAACCAACACGACCGAGGATCTGCTCGACAAAACGATAAAGTAATTTATCTGCGCAAAACGACAACTAACTACTGTTACCGTTTGCGATAGATTGCCAGTTTGAAAAGAGTGATGAAAGACCGAAGCGCTGTTGTCATGTGTGTTTTAAATATTCAATTTAATGAAACTTACCTATTGACTACAAATTTTGGCTTAACTTAGAAAAACTTAATGCCATTTATTTTTTAATTACCCAATTTAAAAACGTTTAAGATTAGATTATAAATATTAGTAAGATTATGACTACCATAACGTTTACACCCTGTATATCAGTGAAGG